ACTGTAACAACAAAGAGTTCCTTATAATTAATTATAATGTTTACAGTAGATGTGAAACAATTAAACAAAAGCTTACACTACTTTTATATCAAAGAAAAAGAAAGTGACTCAAAATATTTATTATTAAGAGAAGGAGGGAGATCTTTGCAGAAATGTGCACATTTTGAAACCCATCTTTGAAATGGAAAATACAGAAAGCAGTTTAAAAGATACTTATTTTGTTAGATTAAACAGAAAATTATTATTAAGTAAATGTAGTTATACTCTAGTAAAGTGTACAAGCATTCTTGTCCATGTCTTAAATTTAAAAAAAAATAATTTTTTTAAAATAAAACTTAGGTGATCATTATTTACCCCAGAAACAGAGTGATCGTGAATTACCCCGGGTCATCCTATATATTTTATTGCAGAACTCGTCATACAAATGATAAGGATGTTTGAAATTCAATTCATAAATGTTGTTTGATTCATATTTATTTTTTAAAATTTATACTCTTTGTAAGACAAATGTTTTTTTTTTTGCTTTCTTGTCACTTGAGGAGAAACACATTTGCAAATATTTATATTCTATGAAGATGAGCTGATTTTAAGCTTTCTATTTTCCAATATGCTAAACAAATTGAAATATGAAAAGCGTATTTCATATATTTTTCTTTTGATGACTATTTTTGTGTGATAAAATTAGAGATTTTGTGTGGATGTCGTTAGGCTTTGCAATTAATTAATAGATATAATAAAATAATACGTTTACTATAACTCACGTTTAAATAGTCATGGTCTTACCTATTTTGCCGAGCATGACTTTATAAGTCAACAGGCCTCCCAACGGGTAAACTGTGCAAAGACTATGAAGGGTAAATTACGAACTGTTCAATCAGACAAACAGAAACTTTCAACACAAATATTTATTTTTTGTTTGTATGATATTTAATTTTTATTCTAACTTAATTTTTAATAAATGCTGTCAAAACTATAATGTGACTTTTTCCAAATTGATTCTGGAATGAATTGATGAAATTGAAATATTCCATGTAATTTGAACGTAATTCTCTTCTATTGGCACTCTTTTTTAATCTTCAATAGTCTTTCGCTTAGATGTCGTAGCGTTTTTAAAAAGTGCTTAAAGGTGCTTATTTTCAATTTTAGTTATTTAAAAGCCCTTAAAGGTGCGTTTTTCATGGGGTGTTTTTAAAAAGTGCTTAATTTTCTCTTTTGGAAAATTTTTGGAGATTTTTTTCTTTACTATGTCGATTTTCGGTACGCAATATGCAGAAGCGTGGTTTTCACATTGTTCTATTCAATGTTTTCACAATTCATTTCAGCGTACCGGCGGTCCATAGCGTATGAAAGCGCCCATCATTTTACATGTTTGATGAAATCCTTGTGAGTCCTTACCGTATGTTCGTCTGCTGAGCTGTTTTCGGTGAGATTATTGGCCTTCTCTAAATAAGCAACTCGCTGCATCTTGCAAGATGTTCTCAATTTCAGACTTCATTTTCCCCCCTCTGATAGCGAATCGAAAAATCTCTTGATCATTTTATAAACGTTATTGTAATCAAGAAAAGAGTTCTTTGTCAAAAACTAGTTATTTTCTCATGAACATCTAAAGTCTTTGAAAATTAGTTTGCATTTTGTTAATGTATATAGTGCTTATAAATATTTTTTGAGTGCTTTAAAAGTACCTAAAAGGTGCTTATTTTTTGTTGAAAGATTTGGCTACGCACCCTGTTAATGAGCGAATATTGCTATGTAGAGAAACAGTTATTTAGATTATATAAAAAAAATAATAATAAAATTAAATAAAATCCAAATTTGGTTTATTTAATTCATTAATGCCTGGGGAAATAGTCTCTCTCAAACTGATTTCCTCTGTGATGGAACTCAATGCTAATTATTATGATGCAGTCCTTTACTAAAATGGTCATAATCTCTATACTAATGATATTCAAATTTTTAATTCCTATTCAGCAGATATTCTCGAAAAACTGACGCATGTAGGACTTCCCGAAACACAATTGACCAAAATAAACGAAAATGTCCAGAGTCACTGTATTAAAATACGTATTTGTTTCTGTTTGTCTTGTCTCAAATCTCAGAATCTATGTGAAATTTATTTTGTATTTAATAAAGTTTTCGTACCAAGGAACTGAATGATTTGCATTCTGTTATTGTAAATATACTGTACTTAGTTTGATGACAATAATAATGATCAATTTTTTAAAAATAATTTGCTTTTTTTAAGTGTTATTTATTTATATGATTTAAAACAGCGAA